TAATTATCCTAATTATATTTTAGATTTTTTATATTTCAAAATGAGATGTTTATCCTTTATTTGATTATATTTATCCGCAGTTAGTTACACGAATTCAAACATGGAGCTTCAATAAGCTGTATGCATAATTTACTTGTAATCTTCAACTTTAAGTAATATGCATCAATAAACAGTACTTCGTGCATAAAAAATCATTTTTAAGACTTTTTGTTAAATGTTTTATAATATGGTATAGATAATTTTCTTATAAAGATAATAGTTAATTATTTTGTTAAAACTCGATAATTATCTTAATTATATTTTAGATTTTTTATATTTTAAAATGAGATGTTTATCCTTTATTTGATTATGTTTATCCGCAGTTAGTTACACGAATTCAAACATTAAGCTTTAATAAGTTGTACTTATGCATAATTTACTTGTAATCTTGAATTTTAAGTAATATGCATCAATATACAGTATTTCATGCATAAAAAATGGTTTTTAAGAGTTTTTATCAAATGCTTTATAACATAGTATAGATAATTTATAATATATATATATATAGAATTAAATATTTATTATATAATAATTATATATAACATATTTTTATAATTTACCGTGCGCGAAAATGTTCTCATTTTAAGAGATGCCAACCCCTTTCGCTTTCCCTACCCCTCGAATCACTTTCTTCCTCTCATATGGATTTGTTTAATATATTGTTTTACGCCTTTTGCTTTTTCATTTTTCGTTTTACATCCTTATCACAGTAACATACATAATTATATATTAACTAAAATATATTTAAAAAAATACGTTTTAATTTTAACAAGTTATATCATTATAATTGTCTCATGAATACCTTCGAAATGAACTCAATATTAAATATGTTTGATTTAATTATAGTATTATATCATATATACTACGAAAAATATATTTTTAATACTTACACCTTGTACCCTTGTAGTTAATTATTTAATATATGGTATGTCTCTTGCTTTTTCATTTTTCGTTTTACACTTTTATCACATTAACATATATAATTGTAATTAACTAAAATACATTAAAAATACATTTTTATTTTAACAAGTTACACCATTATAATTGTCTCGTCAATACCTTTGAAATGAGCCAAATATTGAATATTTTTTGATTTAATTATATTATTATATCATATATACTGTGAATTTTTTTTAATACTTACACTTTATACTTTTGTAGTTAATTATTTAATTTATGGTACGTTTCTTGCTTTTTCATTTTTTGTTTTACACTCATATCACATTAACATACATATTTACATATCAACTAAAATACGTTAAAAAGTACGTTTTTATTTAACAAGTTACATTATTATAATAGTATCACCAATATCTTCAAAATTAGCTCGTATTAGATATTTTTTGATTTAATAATCTATACTATATTATAAAGTATTTGACAAAAAAACTCTTAAAAACCATATTTTATACATGAAGTACTGTGTTGATCCTCTCTCTCGGTGATTTGATGATAATCCCTTTTTCCTTTCGATGTATTTTTTGTTTCTGTACTTTCGGTTC